ATATAGACAGGATCTTTTCTAAATAAGCAATAGAATACAATTTAAATAGCATAACAAAATGGCCCCCAACGTGTAAAGCTTTGAAAAATATTTCTAGTTGGCAAATTTGAAAGGATAGGAGTAGACGAGCAGATATTTGAAAGTTTATATGCCGTGGATAAAGTGAAATATTATGTAAAATTTGAGGAAATAAAGATTTATATATTTTTTTAAGATACAATTTACCATAATTGATTTATTCGTGATATTGACAATTTATAGGTTACCATAATTGATTTATTTGTGTGATATTTACATTTGATAATTTTACCATACTTGATTTATTTGATTGAATTTGACATTTGATATTTTGCCATTTGATTTATTTGTGGGATATTGAAATTTGATACTCGTACTCAAGAGTTATTACATTTGAACAAGAAAAGTCAAGTTTGTTGCAACAGACCAGTAGAATTTTATATTTGGCGGGGATAAAAACAGAATAAATGCCAAACACAAGAAACAAGAGCAAAGAGAACAAAAAAACAAGAAGATAAATCAGAACAGGAAGAATATTCAGACCAGGAAGACGTATTAGACACAACAGTAATGGAGACAGAAAAACAAGAATCGGGAATAGAAAAATTAATACAGATGATGCAACTCCTATCACAGAGGATGGATGAATCACAACAAAGAACGGAACAAATGATGCAACTCCAATCACAGAAGACGGATGACTCACAACAAAGAACGGAACAAAAATTGGACAAATTGGAAGAAAACCAAAGAAAAATGGAACAAAAAATGGAAACGCGTATGGACAAATATGAAAACGAAATAAAAGTCTGTTTAGAAAGAAGTAGGAAAGAAACAGAGAGGAAACTAGAATTGCAGAGAGAAGAAATCGAAACTAAAATGAAGGATATTCAGAGTATGCAAGAAAGGGAATTAGAACAGATAGAAATAAAATTTGAAAATGCGCTACAAGAAGACCGGAAAGAAACGGAAAGGAGATTTAAACAAATTGCAGAGATGGAGATAAGAGAAGTAGAAAGAAAGGAAGTTATCGTACATAGCACAGAAGACGTAAAAGTACGATTTGGCGGGGATATAAGGAAACTACACCCAGTGCCTTTTATAAATATCCTAAAGGAAAAAGTCAAATACATAGGACCGTTTGCAACAGCAAAGGAAACCATCAGAAACCATCTCAAAGAAGAGGCAAATCTTTGGTTTGTCAGCAAGGAAGAAGAATTTGACAATTGGCAAGATTTTGAGAGAAGATTCTTAAATTATTTCTGGGGAAAAATCCAGCAACTACAAGTAAATAAAGAGTTACAAAATGGAAAATACCATGAGAGGATGGGCGTATCAGAAAAGATGTACGCATTACAACTCTATAATAATGCAAAACATTTGCAATATAATTATTCATCAGAACAATTAGTAGGGTTGATATCGCGACACTTTGAAGATACCTTGGAAGACCACATAAATCTCCAAAATTACAAGGACATTGACAGCTTATGTCAATTTTTGCAAATGAGAGAATCACGTAGGCATGAAAGAAGAGAAAGAAGACCGCAAGAAAATTATAGACAAAGAGAAAACCAAGAATATAGAGATAGAGGTCAAAATTTTAGAAGAGATTATACAAGACGAGAATTCATACCTAGACAGGGATACGAAAATAGACCGAACGGAAGAGAGAATTATGAACCCAGAACCCAGAGATGGAATGAAAACAGGGATCGGGAAAATCAGAGTAGAAATAACCGCCCATACCAAGGAAACAGATACAATAACCCACGGAATGAACAGGAATCTCGCGGTAACCGATACGGGAATGATAGACCAAAAGAGAACAGAAGAGAAATAAATAATATGCAAAGAGAAGAAAATGAATATGAAAGAGAAGATGACGGGCGAGAAAACACAGAAGAACAACAGGCGTTTTTTCAAGAAGGCGCTCACTAAAAACGAAGAAACAAACAGGAATTTTTTGTCACCCCAAGGAATTTATTAAACTGGCAGGAAACAATGAAAAGAGAAATGGAGTTAATTTAAAATTTGTGGATGGATTTATAAATGAGAAACCAATTAAAATTATGATAGACACAGGCTCTGAAATAACACTGGTCAACAGAAAATTAATCGAAGAAGTAAATTTAACAAGTCTAATTTATAAAATACCTAAGGTGAATTTAGTGGGCGCAAATAAACGGACATTGGCAACAATAAATGAAGGTATACGAGTAATGGTACGATTGAAAAAAAATATGTATGCACTTCAATGTGTAATAATGCCGAATATGTCACATGACATGATTGTAGGCGTTGACGAATTAACGGAAAAACATGTAGTGATCGACTTCAAAACCAATACGATGAAAATAACAAAGGAAAAAGAAGAAGAACAGGATAAGGAACAAGAGAAACAAATTACGGACGAATCAGAGAAAGAACAAACGGTGGAAATGAACCTGGTGACGAAGAAAGGAAAAGGAAGAAAGAGGGGGAAAAGGTCAGAAAAAGATCAAAGAAAAAAAAACCTGGGATTCCTCAAAAGATGAGACGAGCTCAGGAGAAGAAGATGGAAAGATTTTGACAAGAAATGAAAGCAAAACTTGGGATTCCTCAAAAGAAGAGACGAGCCCAACAGAAGAAAAAACAAAGGAAAATGAAGAGGACACAATGGAGACAGTGGTGTTTGAAAAAGACACGGAGTACACGGTGAATATGTGCGAAGAATTTGATGGGAGAGACACAATGAAACGCTGATAAATAAGGAAAACCGAGTGGCCACAAATACGTAGCATAAGTACAGTTAGCATACAGGAAGTGCGTTTTAGTTTGTCTCGAGAAAATTTAGTTGCATAGATTGATAAATTTTATCGATTACAAAGGCGGGGATTTGTTGTATTTTTGAATGTCCATTAGCAATAAAAACCGATATACAAATTTTATTACTTAAATAAAAATTAAGATTATTGATATTTCATAAAGACACGGGCATATAAAGTTTCAAACATCCTGTATAAGACAAAATATGTATTTTAAGTTGTTCAAAGAATTGTTCATTAGGCCTCAGAGACAAGACTTTCAAATATTATCGATAAGAAATTTAAATGTCGGTTATTGTGAAATGGATTTACCCGTAATAAAAGTGTATATAGAAAGTGTTTAAACAATAGACCGGGATGTGCGGTGGTTTTTCCCCCCGAAAGATTATATCGGTAAAAGTTTATTAACAAAAGACATTAAATTGAGAAACAGGTATCGTTTGTAGCTATTAGTAAGAAATATTTGTAAAGCAGATAGATTTAGTTAGAATAATTAAAGAATGTTGTTTTCTGGAATTACCCGAATGACGTTTTATAAAGAGGAGTTGGTTGGTAACGATACGTCACAGAGGTGGATGATTTTGATTGGTCAATTTTTGAATGCAATGGAGGTAGTGGTTTTGGCTATGAGATAGGAGAGAGGAAAAAAAGTTAGTTAGTCAGTTTTCGTCGCCCAAGAAGGAAGGAGCTTTGTGGTTTGTGTTTGTTTGAAGTCCCGAAGACGTAATTTACCGGGTGTGTTTATTTACTGTGTAAAAGCTGATCAGTGTGAGGAACGGGGTACAGAGAGATAGAAAAACCAAAGAGTATAAGAATATTAATATCAGACGAAGCCGGAAACATTTAAAGTTATAAACAGGCGCGGAGATTGGTTCAAAAGGAGGCCGCATAGAATTACACGAGTTGTTGGGTTGCAGATACAAGGACAGATAGGAGAAAGGTGTACGTCTTCTGGACCACAATAGGAGCAGAAGCAGAGAAAGGTTTTTTTTTTCCATGGCGTGGCCATAGAATTGCAACGGCAGATAACGAAAGGTCAGTCAATTTTCATTAGAGCAGGAGTGTGGTTTTCATTTATTAATTAAATAAATTGAATAAATAATAGAGACAGTTAATTTTGCGATCATTTAAAGAAAAAAATTATAAAGAGAGCTTAGTTATAACACATATTAAAAATCAATGTAAAATAACATTTGGGTCCATGATAGAAAACAACTTCTCATATATTTAAAGTATTATATTGCAAATATTACAGGATTGATTGTTATATAAAATTTCATTAAAATAAAGGACATCTCACATATAGTTCAGTTGAAATTCTGTGTATTTTATTCAGGTCATATTACCTATCCCAATTAGGAAGCCAATTGGAAAATATTTTGAATCCACGATCAAAGGTAAATAGTACAAGTTAAATAGCCTGAGATTGTAATTAATTAATGCTGATTTATTGTGATTAATTGGAGATTAGATCATTTAATAAATATAGACAGGATCTTTTCTAAATAAGCAATAGAATACAATTTAAATAGCATAACAATATATATATATATATATATATATATATATATATATATATATATATATATATATATATATATAATATATATATACCTACATTAATTTATTTAAATGTTCACTTCACTATTTTATTATTTCACTTGCATGTTTAACATAACAAAAATTGTTTATTATTTTATAATTTTTTATATATTTAATAAAGAATCGACACAGAAAAATATAATAATTATTAATTATAATACTCTAATACTCCATCTGTTTATGTATTTTCTCCTTAATTATCTAGATATTTATTTAAATTAAATATGTAATGTAAATTCCAAATAAAATATAAAATTCGGTAAGCCGGCCCTTTTTACTATTTACCTGAAGAAGCAAATCCCTTTATGGCTTTGAATTAATCAGCGAGATACTTTTAAATACTGCATAAGTCAGTTCTTATAATTTATTGTGAATGAATTTTACCTACATAATTCGAATTCCTGTTAAAATATTATATAGTGCCACGAATAAGTGATACAAAAAGCAACTATATATGCCAGCGTTAAAGTGTACATTCATGCAATTATCAAAGCATGATATATAATCAATATGCAGTTTTGAAAAAGTACTTTTATAAACAAAAATATTATACAACTTTATTAGATGACCTACCATTCTTAGATTTTCGTTCCACTGGGTTAAAGCTACGCTGTCAACATTTATTCTTGTCCATACTTCCAGTGCTGAAGTTTGAGCTGGACTCGCAGACTTATCGTCACCTTTTAAATTGGGACTGCTTGGTGTTTTCCCTGAAATGACAAAGGTTTTTTAATCCAGGTGTAGGATCGTAAATATAGAACTCTTGCTGAAATATTGAAATATCAATGTTGTGCCTCAAAGGAAAACTGTAGAAAGCAAAGGTACTAAAAAGAAAAACTAAAATGATCTACAATTCCACAAAAGCTATAAGATGACACAAAAATGAAGAGTCAAAATAAATTGTATATTGTAAATGAGAAAACTCATTTCAATTACTAACAATACAAAACAAAATATGAAATTAAATATAAATCCTGAAATCCCTATTCTAGCTAAAATTTAGAAATAATGGTAGAACAATAAACTTAACTCAAAACTTCAAAACTTAGAGTTCTGGTTTTGATGGTTCGTGTAACAAAAGAAAGTCAGTCTTTAGCATAAAAGGTGGAGTTGGTGAAGTCCAATGCGAGTCTGGAAGAGCACAAAGTATTGTGTTATGAGAGATTTGAAAAACAAGATCTCGTTATCTTCCTTACTCAAAGTATTGTGTAAATTGTGAAAAAATATTAGAAACAAAGTATTGCTTGCTGACAGAGCACTATTTGAGGTGTTACTTCTAATGAGTGAAACTATGCACTTTACAAAAAGTATTATGTTAGTTAAGAGAAAATGGGCGAAACAAAGTATTGCTTGTTGCAGAGAACTATTTTATATATTGTCTTTGAGTCACTTCTTGTCACTGGGGGTTCACATTTCACACTGGCCGCCCAAAAGCCCGATAAAACATATTTTGTCCGTATAGTCCGTACGAAACGCCGAGAGGCAGCCGTAAAGCCAGATGCCGTAGCATATAGTAAAAACATCCAGGACACCAAAGGATAAAGCACACACCATCTACGTAAAGAGAGATCTTACAATTCACCCTGAATTCCTACTAAATTGTGGCAAGTATACAAAAGTTTGGCTGGCTCGATTTTTCACAGACATCATGGAAACTGGAAATATCCCACAAGAATTAAAGCGCTCTAAGATAATAGCCATACTAAAGCCAGGCAAACCCGCTGACAACCCAAACAACTACAGACCAATTGCGCTTCTCTCTGACATCTACAAACTATTAGAGAGGCGTATATATAATAGAATCAGTACAGAACTGTTCCAGATGATCCCAGTCGAACAAGCGGGTTTTCGACCAGAACGAAGCTGCGTGGACCAGGTAATGTCACTCACCACCTACATCGAAGCGGGTTTTCAAAGAAGACTTAAAACTTCAGCGGCATTTATTGATCTCTCGGCAGCTTACGATACAGTATGGAGAGAGGGCCTTATATACAAAATTCTCCGTGCAATCCCTTGTAAACAAATAGCACGTTTAATAGATAGCATGCTCAACGACCGAATGTTTCAAGTAGTGATGGGCACAGATATCAGCCCACCAAAGAAACTTAAGAATGGCCTACCACAGGGGTCAGTGCTCTCTCCATTACTTCTTCTTCTTTGTCAACCATTTTCCATCCACTCCTGAATGTAGGTCTCTCCCAATTGCTTCCATCTTTCTCTATCTTGCGCCAATCTAATCCACTGTTTGCCTGCCACTGCTCTTATGTCATCTACCCATCTTTTTTGAGGTCTTCCCATGCTTCTTGTTGTCGTTCTTGGTCTCCATTCTAGAATTCTCTGTGTCCACCTGTTGTCATTATATCGGGCTACGTGACCTGCCCAGCGCCATTTCATTTTTGTAATTTCTTCCACAATATCCCTAATCTTCGTTCTACGTCGTATCTCGGTGTTTTCTAATCTTGTCTCTTAGTGATATTCCAAGCATGATTCGTTCCATTGCTCTTTGCGTTGTTTCTAATTTTTTGGCAGATTTTTTGGTAAGTGCTACTGTCTCCAAGCCGTAGGTACAAACAGGTAGTATGCATGTGTTATACACCTTTTTCTTTAAGTTTATAGGAATGGAGGTGTTTTTCAAGATATGTGCTAGTTTGCCGAAAGCGCCCCAAGCCAGTTGTGTTCTTCTTTTAATTTCAGCATCTTGATTTGGTTTTCCTAGTTTGATAACATGACCTAGATATAACATAATGTTCCACATTTTCTATGGTATGATTTTGTATTGTTATATTTGTCTGGTCTCGGCTCAGTATTTTTGTTTTGCTGTAATTCATTTTTAAGCCTACCGCTCCTGAAACTGCATTTAATTGTTGTAACATATCATTTAGTCCTTGGATATTATCGGCTATTAAAACTATGTCATCTGCGAATCTCAAATGGTTTAAGTATGATCCGTCGACGTTGATACCCTTATTGTTCCATTCCAGTTTCTTAAAAATATCTTCTAGAGCAAGGGTAAATAGTTTGGGAGAGATGGTGTCTCCTTGTCTTACTCCCCGTTGTAGTCTTATGGGATTAGTTTTTTGTGCTTTCGTCCAGCTTTATATGCATGGTGGCATTTTCATATATGTTTTTAATTATGTTAATGTATCTTGAATCTATGCGTGCATTTTCTAGAGATTCAAGCACTGCCCATAATTCGATGGAATCGAATGCTTTGTGGAAATCGACGAACGCCATATGAATTGGAACATTATACTCGGTGCATTTTTCTATCAGTGTTCTTACGGTGTGCAAGTGGTCTATGGTATTAAAATGTTTTCTGAATCCAGCCTGCTCGATAGGTTGATAGAAATCGAGCTTATGTGTTAGGCGGTTGGTTATGATTTTAGTTAGTAATTTATACAGATGTGATAGCAAGGATATTGGTCGGTAATTCTCGATGTTTGCTCTGTTTCCTTTCTTGAATAATAAACTGACCTCGGAGTTGTACCATTCTTGAGGAATCTTTACTCAATCAAACTGTAATCTTATCCTCTCCCGGACATTTATTCGTTTTAAGTTGATTTAGGGCCATTCTTATTTCATAGTCGGTTATGTCCGGTATTTCTTCTGAGCCGGTGTTAATTATTGTTCGTTGAGTACGTCGTTGTTGTGGTTGTGTCTCCATTACTATTTAGCTTATATTTAGTAGATATGCCGGAAACACAATCAAGAAAGTTCGGATACGCCGATGACTGGGCCCTCACTACACGATGCAGAACACTAGAAACATCTGAAGAAGTTCTGACGGCAGACTTATATATATATATATATATATATATATATATATATATATATATTAATATTACCAGCTATCATCCTCATAGTGCTGTGCAGCTGAGTATCGACCTTTTTTACGTGTGGACTGTGTAGCCAAACTGGGGCACAATATTCAGCGGTCGAGAAAACAAGGGCTAAGGCAGTAGAGCGGAGAGTGGAAGCCGATGCTCCCCAGGTGGTACCGCAGAGCTTCTGTATAATGTTATTTCTGGTACTCAACTTTTGGGCAGTTTTTGTTAAATGCTTTTAAATGATAGCGTTCTGTCTAGTGTTACGCCCAGGTACTTCGGTGTTTTGTTATGGGAAAGTGTGGTTTTTCAAGTTGTGGAAATTTTCAAACCGTATGTTGAGTTCCTTTCCAGCAAGTTTATTGTTCAGGTGAAAGCAACTAACTTCTGTTTTGGATGCATTTGGTTGAAGCCGCCACTTACGAAAATATTTGCTCAATATATATATATATATATATATATATATATATATATATATATATATATATATATATATATATATATATGTTATATGCATTGTACCAACTGATGTCCCTTATCACGACGATTCCCAGGGTATCAGGTTCCACTTCCAACAACCTGAGCCGATAAGGATCCTTGCAAATGCAGTACCAGCAGAGTCAGCGGGACCCAAGCTTTTTACACGTTCCCACTGAGTCAGCATTTACTAATATTATAAAACCGCTTGTCGCTCTTAATTCATCATTCAGTATATTTTTGTAGTTCATTCATTATATTTTATATTTCATTCATTTTTACCACGTAACTTGTATTTTGTAATTAATAAATTTTTTAAAAAGTCAAAAAAGTGTTTCGTGATATAAAAAGTGGCGCAGTCGCAGTAGGATCTGGAAACGTTGGCAGAACAAGGAGAACCTAACTGACAACGGTGGATTCCAATCCTTTAATCAGAAAAAGAACCAGAAAACTCCAAAAAGCAGTGCCGCCCTAACTTTGCAGACATCTACGGAAGGAACACCAAGTGAAGCCCCTGGTAGATTAGCTGTCGAGAACAAGACGACTAGATGTTTTTGGAACTAATGTAAGTCTAATACTGAATCATCTCGTATATAATTTTTGTTTAATACCATTTATTACCATACACTGTTCGATATTCCAATATAAAATATTCATTTAATTAATAATTTTATGCCGAATTTGAATATTTTTTGATAATTACTTTAATAATTATAAACTTTTGGCGATTATTCTGTAAATCGTCAACATTTTTATTTTCATTTTATTAAACGATTACCTGTGTCGATTATTCTGCTAATCACACACTGTCTTAGAAAAATACTTTTCCTATATTTTGACATATTATTTTAATATTTACACTTTCCATTTATTATTTTGATATTTACATTTTGTTTTATTATTTGATATTTACATTTTGTTTTATTATTTGATATTTATATTTGATTAATTATTTTTAATTAATCCATTATCTTATATTTTTATTTCTATTTCGTTTATTGATTTATTAACCACCATGAATGATAACGGCAACATTTCTCGTCCCGCTTCTCGTAATGAGAACCAGCCTGAAATAGAACCTTATAAATTATCTGAAATATTTTCTATCGTACCCGAATTTGAAGGCGATCAAATATTTTTACACACATTTTTAAATGCTTGTGATTATGCCTACAATATGTCTACGCGCGATCAAAAACAACTATTAGTAATTCACATTAAAAATAAATTACGCGGAAGAGCAGCGCAACTTATAAGTTCAAGAAATCCATTATCGTATCTAGAAATTAAACAGCTTCTTACCTCTCATTTTGGAGACACTAGAGACTTATCTTCTTTGATACAAGATTTACAAAGAGTCAAACAACTTCCAAATGAATCGGCTCTTACATTCCTTAATCGTGTCCAAG